ATGAAGTTACCTTTTGAGGAATTTCAAGTGAAGGGAGTGTTGGATTATTTCTCTTCAACTTCAAATTCAACTTCAACTTCAAATTCAACTTCAGATTCATTTTCATTGCTTTTGAATCAACCACAACAACAACATCAGCAACAGAATTGGACAACGTTGGATAAACAAGATTATTGCTATGTGGAGCCCACTTCTGTTCTTGATTCAAGAAGAAGCCCTAGTCCTCCAATTTCATCTTCAACAATGTCATCTTCTCTTGGTAGTGGTTCAAACAACAACAACAACAATGCTTCCATGGTAGTTTCGGAGAATCTCGCTCGGCTTTCGAACTCGAACGAAGAGGGTTTGGAGAATAGTGAAGAGAAATGTGGTGGTGGTGGTGGTGGTATGAGAATGGAGGATTGGGAGGGACAAGATCAGTCGCTTTTGAGGTTAATCATGGGAGATGTGGAAGACCCTTCTGCTGGTTTGAACAAAATCTTGCAAAATAGTGGCTGTGGTTCTGAAAATGCAGATTTTCACGGCGGTTTCGGTGTTTTGGAACATCATCAACAACAACAAGGTTTGAACATTGACCCTTCTGTTGGGAATTACAATGTTTTTCCTTTCAATGCTGAGAATTTGGATAGTCACAATGTGAAACCTGGTAATGAATCTATGTTTGGTAACTATCCTATGTTGACATCATCGTCGACAACTTCCGGTGTGTTTTGTTCTCAGCAGCAACAGCAACAAGGGTTTGGTGTTGTCGACGAGAAGCCCCAAGTTATTAACCCTAATTTTATGATGAATCATAATCAAGTTCAGTTTGCTGATAATCCGTCTTTCTTTGTTCCATTGCCGTATCCTCAAGTGCAAGAGCAACAAGTTTTTTCTTCTCAGAATCAGTTGAAGCGGCCGCTTTTTGATACGGTTGGACACAATTATCCGGTACCGAGGCTACCGCTTTTGGATTCTGGTCAAGAAATGTTTGCTCGGAGGCATCAGCAGCAAACACAGCTTCCGTTGTTTCCTAATCATCATCTGCAGCAGCATCCGCAACAACAGCATCAGCAATCGCCGGTTGTTCCCTTTGCGAAGCAGCAGAAGATGAGTTCTACTACTACTACTAATACCGGAGACGATCAGCTTCAGCAGAGTATATTTGATCAACTATACAAAACTGCTGAGCTGATAGAAGCTGGTAATCCGGTTCAAGCGCAAGGGATATTGGCGCGGCTCAATCACCAGCTCTCACCAATTGGTAAGCCTTTTCATAGGGCTGCTTTCTACACCAAGGAAGCTTTACAACTAATGCTTCATTCGAACAGTAACAATCTCAATGCTTTTTCGCCGATTAATTTCATATTCAAAATCGGTGCTTATAAGTCTTTTTCCGAGATATCGCCTGTTCTTCAGTTTGCTAACTTTACTTGTAATCAAGCCCTTATTGAAGCCTTGGAAAGGTTCGATCGAATTCATGTTATTGATTTTGATATCGGGTTTGGAGTACAATGGTCTTCTTTTATGCAAGAGCTTGTGTTAAGAGGTAACGGCACACCTTCTCTTAAGATTACCGCTGTTGTATCACCCTCGTCTTGCAACGAGATTGAGCTCAATTTCACCCGAGAAAATTTGAGTCAGTATGCAAAAGACCTCAACATGCCGTTTGAGTTCAACGCATTGCACATTGAATCGTTGAGCTCACCGTCGTTTCCTCTACCGGGTCATTTATTTGATAACAACGAGGCCGTTGGTGTGAACTTTCCCGTCTCAAGTTTTATAAACCATCCATCGACTTTCCCTCTGGCCCTTCACTTTCTCAAGCAGCTGAGGCCGAAAGTTATCGTCACATTGGATAAAAACTCCGACCGAATTGACTCGCCTCTTCCTACCAACGTTGTTCACGCACTTCAATCTTACTCATCCTTGCTCGAATCACTTGACGCTGTAAATGTGAACCTCGATGTACTCCAGAAGATCGAGCGCCATTTCATCCAACCAACCATCAACAAAATTGTCCTCGGCCACAACAACCGTTCACCCGACAAATTACCTCCGTGGAGGAACATGTTTCTTCAATCCGGTTTCTCTCCGTTCACATTCAGCAACTTCACGGAAGCGCAAGCCGAGTGTTTGGTTCAAAGGGCACCGGTGCGAGGATTTCAAGTCGAAAGAAAGCCTTCATCTCTTGTTCTATGCTGGCAGAGGAAAGAACTCATCTCAATTTCAACTTGGAGATGCTAAGATGCAAAGAAGAAGTGATTATTGATTGGTAACTTTTATGTTAAAGTTTTATGTAATTGTTTGTGTAATTCTTAGGCTTATTTATGAAATCCATAACCCTAATGTTTTGTTAACTAAATGGGTTGGTTTATATGATTTCAAAAACTCTATTATTAGTATTTATGTAAAAGCCTTAAATGTTTCTTTGTTATCTTGAACACAAAAGCTTTATTGCTTAGTAAGAAACAAACAATTTGGGCATGAATGAATGATCTCTTTATGGTTTAGTTTTGTCTTGATTTTAGGCCTAGTTTGGCAAAGCTTATGAAGAAAAGCTTATGGTGTGTTCATTAGCTGGCTCATCGCCCGACCATTAGCGAATCGGATTCTCTATGATCAATTAAAGACGGTTAGATTATGAGAGAAGTCTTGTAGTCTAACCGTTGTATTGCAGACGGTTAGATTAACTGTCTGCAATCGGCCTTAGAGAATCCGAGTCTGACTATTGCATGTGTTTAGCTTATTGAATAAGTGTGTTTGATTAAATTCTATATATCAATGCTACTCTTAATATATACTATGTTGAGTTGAATTTGGTATCATATTAATTTTAATATGTTGCATGAAAAATATTGTGCTAATTAAATTCTAGAAGGCATTGTATTTAATTTTGATATGATTTTGTGCTCTGATAGAGCATCAATTATTAGGTAATATAGTTGGTGAATTTGTGATTTTTTTCAATAAAGACACCAAAAGAAAATTTATACATGATTATTACCAAGATTTTTTAATTTATGTATTTGACCTAAATATAAAACTTGCTAATGATTGGTCAAGTTTTTTATTTTATTTTACTTTTCCTAATGTTCAAAATGTTGACAAATTCAAATAAATATACTTTATTTATGAATTATTTATTGTTGTCTTGTCTAGATACAACTGCAAATGCAATGTATTTATACATTCATATGCAGAAACTTTCTCTGTAGCTGTCTTCAAAATACATATTTAAGAAAACCTATTATTTTAATCATTACTTTGACTAATTTATTTATTTTTAAATTAAAATAAATAATCATTAGAGACTAGTGAAGGATAAATGATTGGGGGTTTAAAGTTTAATTCATAACAATAATATTTATTTATTAATGTAAATAATTTGTTAAAATTTATAAAGTAATAATTTTTAAAAAACAAAAAGTTGTTATTAAAAATATTATTTATTTATATATTTATTTATTACACTCTTAATTTTTTTGATTCATGATACATTTTAGATAAATATATTTTCTCTGCTAAAGGTTATTGAATATAAACTTTCTGTTATAAATAAATTTTCCGAAGTAATAATTTGAAGTGAGAGCAATTAAATGTCAATTTCAGTATGCCAATTTAAGTATGATTATCTTTTTAGTTTTTTGCTTAAGCACAAATTTTTTTACTTTAAATAATTTGTTTGGGAGAAAGGGGTTGTGACATCAATTATATTTAATCTAAATTGAAAAAAAAAATAGTGTTTTAAAACTCAAACCTCTCAATAGAAAGAGGGTTAAACTGTTAATTGGAAGATATAGTAGTTTTTTTAATGTTTAATTTTATTAAAAAAATTATATATTTTATAATTGTAGCATTTTTTTCTAATATATTTTAAAGCTTATTTATTATCAATCATACAATATAATAATATAATAAATTAAAAAAAGTTTTAGAAAAAAAGTTATAAAATATAATAATACTATAAATTCACAAAAATTTTGAAAAAAAATCATGATACTAAGGAAAAAAATAAAAATTTATTTTTATATTATTTTTAATATGAATTTCATTATTTAAAAAATAAAAATTATGTTAGGAAAGGAAGATTGAATTAAATATTCACAAGTCTCATTATTATTGTTCTAGAATTGAATTTTGGTTTGAAGTGCTTCCCACTATCACCATTTTCTCAACTACAAAAATTAAAGTCAATATTTTTATATTTATGAATCCAATAAATCTGTTTTTAAAATGAAATTATATCTCTTGATCATTTGACATGTTAATCAACTCTATCTCTTATAAGTGACTCAATTTTTATTTCTTCAAAAACTTGAGGAAGAAGAAGATGCTTTGCCCCCTGTGCTTGCTAAAGCTAAGTATCTAAACTATCATATGTGCAAGGAATCACTTTCTTCTAAATGAAGATTGCAAACAAAAATATAAAACATTAAATGAGGGCCCAATGGGTAATGAGAAATTTATGAAAAATTGTGAGAAAATGGAATTTGGGCTTAAAATCTTATACAAATAGAAGAGAAGGATTGGGCCATTTGGGCTCATTCCCAAGCTTACTATTTCCACCAAATTGTTTGTACTTTACCACGAGAATTTGTCCTGCCACCCTTTTATTTTAATCGGGCATGTTTTATTATAATATCTTTTATTCAAAAAAATAAATTTTAGTTTTTATTTGTCATTATTTTAGAATTTTTAAAAAAGTTGTGATATTTATCGAATTTTTTGAGTCATTTATTAAATATTTACAAGCAATTCATCTTTTTTCGTTAATATTATGCTTTTTTTACTGACAATTTAAGATAAATACCACACTATTAAGAAAATCCATGTATTTTTATCAGAATTTTCAAAATGTATGATAAAATTTCATATTTCACATACATTTATATCAGAAATTTTTAAAAATGTAGTGATCAATATGCATTTTTACCAATATTTTTGAAATGTCAGGTAAAAATACATAATTAGTACCGACAATTTAAAAAATTTCGATATAAGAGCACGATGGTTACCATATTTTTCAAATATGCCGGTAAAGCCATGCTAATTTCTGGATTTTTAAAAGATTCAGTAGTTTATATATTTTTGTTTTCTTATTTTATTTTTTTGGTGTAGTGAGGACAAGAGAAAGAGATGACATGATTGTTTATATATTGGCAAATTGATCAGAGAGAGTAGCTCAAGAGAGCTTTTGTGTAGGCAGAGACAATGGAAAGCACTCGCATATCCGGGTGGATAGAGTAGTCCCTACATGTTCTCATAGGAGAAGAATTGAGCAGTCTCGCGCACGGCGTACTCTCTTGGTAAAATTTTTGTGTATCCCAAATGTCATTATAGGTATTGTAGCATTGTACATTTGATTTTGTAAGCAATGTAAATTTGGTATTCTTTGTTTATGTTTTTTATAAAATAAAATGATCTGATTTTGTCACATAATTTATAATTTATATGTAAAAATATGATATAGATATGTACAAATGAGATTTAAAAAAATTATAAATGACAAAAAATAGGTTATACCCCTCAATTATTATACCAAAACCAACGTAAATAATGACCTTTTTTTCATCGGTTATTAACAAAAACCGAGAGGTATGTGGCGCGCGCAACATAGCTTTGAAAATAAAAAAATGTTGTTGCTGGAGATCAAACTAATGACCATTTCAACTATCCATTCGATTATTCAGAAACTAAGGGGTAAAATGACAAGTTTTCATGCCGCCCTTTATTACCTTGCTTGTCTAACCGAGGTAAAATAAGTATATTTGTAGTAGTGATAAATGTGATACAAAATGTAAATGATACCAGGTTTCAAGATTAGAGCGTACCGGTTTGATCTGTTACGATTACAAATAGTCCATCAATCATCAAGTGTGGAAGGAGGATTGATAATCTTGGAAGAGGCATTGAACTAGGACCAAATTCTATTGACATAGCTGCAATCAAAGAACATTTGCTATGATGTTTCTTCTGTTGATCTGTAGAGAGTGCAAGGAGTAACAATCTCCCAACCACGCATCCGTAATTGGTCATCCGTAGGAACCTTGTTCGATATAATCCTCCAGAAAATCATGGAGTTGGATGGAGGAGTATTTGCACACCAAATATTTTTTTGCCTAAAATTGAGGCTAAATGGGAACCTTGAATTAATAAGCATACTTTAAGTCCAAAATACCTTATTGAGAGAAAGGTCATATAGCCTCATCATTAAAGTTTATATTGTTTAACATTGTTTAATTGAGTCTGTGTTAGAGAGCAGGGAAATGGATGTGCTAGAAACTAGGGAAATTTTATTTCCCATCAGAGATAATGTCTGCCATCTTCGAGGAGCTGAAGATGCCTTGGATGATTAAAAAATCCAGATTAGTTTCTAGCAATTAGAGAGAACCATACCATACATCCTGCCAAAATTTGTGTCTTGTAATTTAAGTATGGTTGTTTAAGTGTAGTTAGTTAGTTGTTGTGTACAAACTTGTAACAAACTATGATAAATAATCATATATAACTAATAATGCACTTGTAATAAACTATGATAAATAATTATATATAACTAATGTTGTGAATTGATGTCGTCAAGAACAAATCAAAATATGAGAAAAAGATTGAGTTTCTTGAACAAACATAAGAAACTCTATTAGGTTTTAAAAAATATAGATAAGAAGGAAGAAGAAGAAAAAGAATTAGTTAAAACTATTTTACTATTCAGTTTCTCAATAAAGGTTGAAAGATTACAAGTGAATACCAACAGTTAACCTGTCTTAACAACCTGACAGAACTAGTCTATTTATAGACTACTAAGCTAACTTATGCTACAAGCTAACTTAATGATTGGGCTTACAAGCAAGGCCCAATTCGACATGTTATCTTAACACAAAGCTAACATATTTTGGTAACATGCTTGAACAGACATCGACTAAAGCATACATGTAGTGCCATTTTCGTGAACCGCCATTGGTTGTTGTCGCTACTGCGAAAATAAGGTGCCGGCAAAACAGAAGAGTCGCCACCTTTCGTTATTTATCCTAAAGAAAGAGAAAGGAAACGATCGGAAAAACTTGACGAAAAGGTATAAGACAAGGTCATCACAACCATGTCTGGGTTTGAGAGTCAGTTACGCAAGGGGAAGGTATTAGCACCCCTCACGTCCATCGTACTCGATGGGATCCACGATTGTTGTGTTTATCTGACAGGTTGATTATATCTATCTACGCTAAAGGTCTGGTCTGAAAAGAAAAGAAAAT